CCCCAAAACCCCAAAACCCCAAAACCCCAAAACCCCATTCGTTGATAATTATATTGAAAGATCAAAAATGAATCGCACAGCTTATCATAAAACAACTCAGCAGTCTCCAGTGATCAGCTTCCCGTCATTAAACACGACTCAGACAGTGCAGTCCAAATAAGTTCAAGCCTCGTATCAAGATGAGCAAGCTACGTTCACAATTCGTACGGTATTTCCCTCCTAAGTAGCCAATCTCTTTGAGAAATTCGGCCGGTTCACTGTGGTTGTAGGTTATGAGTAGTAGCTAGAGACTACAAAGCCCCTCTTTCCCTACATCTAGGTTCGAAGGAATAATTTGTATTATAGAACGCATTTGTAAAGGAAAACTCACGAAAATAAAAATGAAATGAAGCTCATGCCTCAATCGATTAATAAAAAATTCTTCGAAGCATTGCAGAGAAATGTGGCTGGGAAATTACCTACCTTCTCTAGAGGCCCTAAAAGAAGTCTCAGAAGGAAAATTGTTAATAATAAAACTCTTTATGATAACCCTTATTTCCGAACTGTTTTGAAAACTAAGTTGAAATCTAGAGGGAACAGGAACTCGAATTTCTCTAACCCTAATGTTAGTTCTATGTTATCTAAGAGATCGTCTCGAAAAACATCTACTCTATCGAAAAGGCAATCGAAGCATTGAGGAATTAAAATGTCAAGAAATAGAGGCCCTGGGGTAAGATATTAGAACATAGCAATCCCAGAATTAGTGCATATTTATATTTTAATGGTATTTTGAGAAATCAGTACAAACATTCTAATTTGAACGTAAAATCCTGGCTTAGAGTTCAGTATTTCTGATATACCTAAATGTTTTATATTCAAAAATCCAGCTAAGAAATATTAAATCGATGATAATTTGTTCACCTATTTATCATAGCAAAAAGTGTTCAGCCCACAAATTATTCGAAGAAAGGAGATAACGCCTCCATCTCAGAGGATTCCTCGCAAAAATAAGGTAAAAAGACATATAATTTCTCCACGAAAACGTGCAATACTAAGCCCTAAATTATGAATACGCAAGAAAATAAAGCCTATCCAGGACCCACCAGTGCCACATAAATATGAAGTGTTCTATCGCAAAAATGAAGAGAAGCCAAAGACTAGATATTTCAGAGCCAAAGAGTCCTTCAATAAGACCGTAAGTGAATCGAAGACCCACTTAGGATAGAACGTTCCTTTGTATCTCACTTGCCAAAGAGATATCAGCAACTAGTGCTATGTTCTGAGTTGCTAAAGTTTGAATAAAATTCGTCAGCAAGAGATGCCTCCCAGCCATACATTGTAAAGGAGGTTTATAGTGGTGACATCTGTCTGCATGTGTCCGAAGCTCATGAATAAGCACAGACTCTGATCTTAAGTGTGATTAGATAGAAGTCTATTTAAGCCAAAGAAAATCCTTCCTGTACACTCTGTTTATTCAAGGTTTACCATTGAAAGTTTTTTCAAATTTATTAATTTTTGCCCAAAATGAGTTGACAATAATTTTCTTTCAAAAATTAATTATTCATGCATTTGAACCTAGTAAAAATCAGTACAATCCCTTTGAGCTATTTTGGTCTAATATTTTCCTTTTTATTAAGTTAATATGGCTCAAAAAATCATTTTGGTGATGGTATAGAGTTAGAAGCACTGAGGTTTTCATAGTTTAGACAATGCTTCACATATAACAAGGAAAGCTTAGTCTATGAATAGAAAGCTTCGGAAGAATTCATTTAGATTCATTCCAGAAATCACTCTCTTAGCTTTTGGAAGGATATTGTCGATATTATAAATAAAACTCACCAATTTTTACTTGTTTCGATGATATTTTACAGAAATATTTCTCTTGGTAAACCAGCTTATTCCATGCTAAATCATATTGTTATAGTTCGAAACAGAGAACCAGGCCAGGGAGTCTCCTATCATCAGGACAGAAATAAGCGAGAGAAGGGGAATATTCCAAAACCCCAAGATGAAGAGTACAACCAAAATTTTGTACGAATACCTTAACGATATCAACGAGAATACTGAGAAATCAGAGGAAAGTAAGAGTAAAGGACAAAAGGAGAGTTTCTCATTATTTAATCTGTCAAGAAAAACTCCAGCCTCTTCAAGGTCCTCAACAAGCCCATTAAATAGACGAAAAGAGAAGAGCAAGTTTCATAATGCTAGAAGAGAGACTAACTCAGATATGAGTAGTCCTGAAAGTAGTTGTTCAGAGGAAGGAGAGGAGGATAGGTTCTACCAGACTAATCCTAACCCTTACAAAGATTTATAAGCACCATTTTATATCTCAACTTCTCGAAATAATAATGGGGTTTTGGGGTTTTGGGGTTTTGGGGAG